TGGACAATGCTCTGCTAGAAAACACAAGTTTTGAGAGAACTAAACGTTAAGAATGAGAGGAGCTGGATCATTTCAACTTCCTGATTTTTTACCATTAGGGGGAACTGTTCATTTATGGAACAATTTTTCATTTACTGTGGAAAAAAAGTCTACTACATCGAACCTTTTCTGGAAACCACATCGGTTCAGTCCCAGTTCACCACATAATTCGATAGCATTGCTGATGCCGGACGATCTAATGCGTTCTAGAATCTGTCCCGTGATGTCAAGCATACAAGCCGGTTTATAATCCGATCCCAGTGAAGCTTATTTGATTTTTGGCAGTAACACCAATTGTTGTAGCTTCCGTTGCCATTCTAGTGAAGTGGGCAGATCAGGCTGCGAAACGTATTCCTGTCAGGAGTTCGTTTATGCTTTATTATTTTTGCGCCGTGCTATTGCCATTCAAATCCTCTGTATGCGGGGGAGTGGGGTGGCTCCTCTGGACATCTGTCACCAAGTCGCCTTTTTCATTCTTACAGCCTCGGTTCGGTGATTGATATTTCCGTAAGACACCGAAGTCTCTGTAAAACATTAGAAACTTTTTCCTGTCGGTAAACATTTCTCACACTTTGTTTTTCGCTATTTTGGCTTCTCTTTTCCTATATCGTATGATTCGGTTCTTATCACTTTTCAACTGACGGTTACGCCCGGTCGCAAAGTGACCCTGTAAATAGCGGATGCTTCTCTGTGGCATTCCTCGTCTTACTGTTTAAAGACGCTCTGATTGGTATTTGTCACAAATGCAACTTTTTGACAAGAGGCTTTTTTAAAAGCTTATTCTCTGAATGAATTAAATCAGTAACGAACAGAGAGCTTTAACTCGGTGTGCGTATTCATCTACACACATATAACGAACATACAGAACGTCTTGAAAAACTTTTACCGTGGCCTATGTTTTGGTCGTTGCTGATTTAGATCAGTTGTGGCCAGATGGAGCATTCAGAATACTCTGAACAGCTAATCTAGATTAGTTACGACTAAAACATAGCGTAGGCGAAAAGCTTTATACCAGGAAACGAGCTGTATCGTCAGTTGTTCTCCACATTACTTGCATTTTAGCTGTCGTCAAACTTTACCGTGATTTTTAACATATTTTTTTTCTTTTTATTTCNAAACGAGCTGTATCGTCAGTTGTTCTCCACATTACTTGCATTTTAGCTGTCGTCAAACTTTACCGTGATTTTTAACATTTTTTTTTTCTTTTTATTTATTTTATTCTTTTCATAGTGCAATTAATTACCACATCACCTGAACTATCACAAAGGCTCTTTGGTTTGATTAAGCCAGCAGCCACGGTTCAACCACAACCACAACAACAACAACAACAACAGCCACAGCAGTCACAAAATGATGCAACACAAACGACACCCACACAAGCATCACTCCTACAACTTAACGAAGCTCAGGATGCCACTACGCACTTACCCACCGCCTTGGGACTAAAGGTACGTAATTCACTGCAATTGACGGCTTCACCGCAAAATAAACAACAACAACAACAACAGCCGCAGNAATTCACTGCAATTGACGGCTTCACCGCAAAATAAACAACAACAACAACAGCCGCAGCAGCAACAGCAACAACAACATAACATCGCACAAAACACCAATTCCCTGTTGAAGCAGCAGCTACGCGCCGGACTTAAAGAAATTTCTACTAACAACGTGTCAATTGAACCAATATCAAATAATAGTACCACTGATTTCGGCTGCTCAGCGCTGCAATCGCTTGCGAGTGTTGCTGAACGCCAAACGCCCAATGCAATACAGCCACCATCGGCTAACAATTTACACCACCAGTTCTTGCTCCACATGGCTGCCAATCCCATGTTAAAGCCGAGCGCTGATTTCTTCCGACAACAGCAACAGCAGGCGCAACAAAATCTGCATCAGCAACAACAGGAGCAATTAGCTGCACAAGAACAGCAGCAGCAGCAGNCAGCAGGCGCAACAAAATCTGCATCAGCAACAACAGGAGCAATTAGCTGCCCAAGAACAGCAGCAGCAGCAGCAGCAACAGCAGCAACAGCAGCAACAACAAACGCAAGCCAAGCAGCAAACACAACCGCCATCACAATCAACGCAATTGCTCGAACAGGAGCTGCAACGTGAGGACAGCATGTCGCCCACAAATATGGATCTCATACTCGACCAGACAGACAAGTCAGAGCCAGAATTGACGCTAGCCGATGAGACTGCGGGTTTGGATTACAAAAACGCCGACACATCACAAGGCAACATGGATGATGCAGTCGCCATTACAACAATAACAATAATTGATGCACCAGACAATGAGAATTCGAATGCAAATGCGAATTCGAATTCGAACGCGGCTGAAGCTCTCACTACGACGGCGCGCTCAAGTGGCACCTCCCGGCGGCCAGTGCAACGACGGCGTATACGACGCAAAGCGCAATCTACAATCGACGATCAAGCGGAACACTTGACCGAAATGTCGGTGCGTGGACTCGATCTCTTCCGGTATGCGCGCATCAACGAAGGCGTCTACCAATGCACTGAGTGCGCTAAAGAAGACTTGCAAAAGACGTTCAAAAACAAGTACAGCTTCCAGCGACATGCCTTCCTCTATCACGAGGGTAAGGTGCGCAAAGTTTTCCCCTGCACTTTGTGCGGCAAGGAGTTCTCGCGACCGGATAAAATGAAGAATCATCTAAAGATGGCGCATGAGAATTTTGTGGCGCGTGATGCGAACAGTTTCAATCCGCTGAACTATTTGATTACGGCGGCAACGGCGGAGGAGATGCAAACTGCAATATACACGGCGAGTGCTGCGGCACAACAACAACAGCAGCAGCAGCAACAACAACAGCAGCAGCAGCAACAACAACAGCAGCAGCAACAACAGCAGCAGCAGCATCAACAACAGCAACAGCAACTAGCACAACAGCAGCACCAACAACATCAGCAAAGGTCAATCATGCAAAATGATTACTTGGATAACGGTATCGGCGTTTTGCATGCACCGCCACAGGAGCGTGACACATCGAGGCCAACATCGCCGATGTCAGCAGTGTCATTGCTAAAATTGCAGAGTGATTTAACCATTAAAAATGAAATTGTTATATCACCGTCGCCATCACCTGAACCGATACTGACTGTGCCAGCGAATGCTGCCGCGGCATCAGCAGCAGCTGCAACAGTAGCAAAAACAGCAAATATGTCAATGCTACAGGCGAAACGTATAACACAAAGACTGGAAGAGGTTAAGTAAAATGGGATTTATTTACAAAAAAAAAAAATCTACTAAAGTAAGTTAGTTGCGGATGTGGGAGTCAAAAGAAAGTTGCTAAGTACAGAGTGTTTAAGAAAAATAATTTTTAGTTAGCTTACAAACTTTTTTTTTTTTTTAATCTAAATATTTTCGGTAGGCCGCAAAGTGCAACAAATACAAAATAGTAGTAGCTTTTGATGTTGTGTCGTCAGTGTAAACGCATAACTAAAGGGTCTGATTTACATATAAATAAATATTTAGTACATATATGACATATAAGAATTAATACACAACAAAAATCAACTCATTTACTTAAATAATTTACATACACGCATACACGCATAATTAAAAAAATAATAATCGTAATTAAATAATGAAATATGCACAACTAATAGTAAGCGAGACGCACAAAAGTTAAGCATACAACAAAAAAATACAATTAACTTGGCACAAAAAGATTAGATTTTTTAGTTTTACAATTATGGTATTAGTTTTGTTCGTCGAGCAAAAAATTTGTACGTATACGCAAAGTTAAAGTTCTCTTGTTAAGAAAAATCACAATACATTTAAATTCAGTTTTTTTCCAGCCAAAAGAATTTTAAAAACTATAAAATCGTATTATGTTTGAAATGCAACCGTGGACACCGGTTGGTAGTGAAACNTTAAATAATGAAATATGCACAACTAATAGTAAGCGAGACGCACAAAAGTTAAGCATACAACAAAAAAATACAATTAACTTGGCACAAAAAGATTAGATTTTTTAGTTTTACAATTATGGTATTAGTTTTGTTCGTCGAGCAAAAAATTTGTACGTATACCCAAAGTTAAAGTTCTCTTGTTAAGAAAAATCACAATACATTTAAATTCAGTTTTTTTCCAGCCGAAAGAATTTTAAAAACTATAAAATCGTATTATGTTTGAAATGCAACCGTGGACACCGGTTGGTAGTGAAATTTGCAAATTTGCGTTCGTGCATAAATTTGCAAGTTTCTATACTTGAGAGAGAATTTAAGAGAATTATAATAATGCACAATTCTTACTAAACTTTTCGAATAACGAACCTATTGTCACTTGCGAAGCGAATAAATTTAGCGTGGCGAACGGTTTGGTGCAGAAAAAAATTTACAATCGAAAAATCATTTAGGTGTGTTCATCAAACCGTTTGCTTCGTTAAATTTATNCCTATTGTCACTTGCGAAGCGAATAAATTTAGCGTGGCGAACGGTTTGGTACAGAAAAAAATTTACAATCGAAAACTCATTTAGGTGTGTTCATCAAACCGTTTGCTTCGTTAAATTTATTTGCTGCGCAAGTGACAATACCAGCCTAATTTAATTTTTTTTTTTTATAAATTTTTTTTTTTAAGTAAGAAGACGTTTAGCGCACAAAACAGCCTTACAAAGCATCATTCAACTGTAATCTATTGAAATAAACCTAAAATAACACACTAATTAATTAATGAAAACTGCAAACAATCAAAATAGTTTAAGCTCAACGACTAATGCCTTATAATTTAATGCACAAATTACTATTAAAATATAGTTAGCAGCAGATTTATAACTATTTGTAGAAATATTTAATATTAATTCCTTTTGATATTTTATATGAATGTATATAATTTAAGAGCCGTCCATTTTTTTAACCCTCTCATTATTACATATGTACATATGTACTACATAATTGACTAGTTACTAAACAATTATTAGCACTTAGTTGAATTATACCATTTTCCCACGGCATCCACGGCATTACTTTATTCGCTCCCCCAATTTGACAGTTCTCTGTCTCTGTGTATTTTTTTGTTTTTCTTTGCTACAAAATTGATGCAAAATGTAGGTTCTTCCTAAAAATGTATAAGTTTCCTTATTAAATTAAGGATATACACATTGATAAACTTTAATTTTCGTTCTCAGAAAAAATGCAAGTTTCTATTTGTGAGCTAGTTTCGATAAATTTTCGTGATTCGCATGGTAATTGAATCTGAATTACCAACAAATGAGGTAATTCGGCCTCAAAATTTCGTATAGCGAATTATGTAATGCGGTGGGTAATTGGAGTGCGAATTACGAATGAGAGAGCAAACTACGTAATTGGGTTGCCGTGGGAAAGCCGCATTAGTTTAAGCAATTGACTTATGTATGTACTATTGTATTCTGGCTTCATCTATTTATTTTATTTATCCGACTATCAGAATTCGTTCATCTCAGTTTTTTTCGGAGAAAAACTTTTCAAAAAGGTGCATGCTATTGAGTTGTGCCGTTTTTATCGGCTAAACAAATCATACTTGGTAGAAATATATAGTTAACTCTTAACAGAAGCCTAATGCCGGATTTCCACTCTGCACTAAATGACGCAAATTCTAATGACAAAGTTGGGCATTAAAAAATATGCATATCATTGCGTTAAAAAAAAAATTCTCACTAAGTTCATTCCCACATGGTATTTTTTAAATGGCACCAATTTTTTGTCATTTCAATGCCTAGTGGAAATTCGGCGTAAGTTACTTTCGTGGGACTTTAAAGCATGGCCTCAGCATGACTAGCACGAATTAGGTGCGACTTTTTTGCTTCCTAGATTTTCTGCAGAAAACGTTGAACCTTTATTTTGGTCGCTTGCACCGCGTGACAAAAAAAAACAAGAAATTTTAAAGCAATCAATATACTCACGGAGCTAGGGGCTAAATATAGTAAAAATGTATTTCACCCGCAGAAGTCAAAATTTTTCAACTGCACTTTACGCGTATCGGAAAAAGGAGATAACTCCTCGAAAGGGTAATTGCCTATCATCGCATGCTAAAATTGCTGAAACTTACATGCCTGGGCTCTTAACTGCAGTTAAGCTTTTGGTGGAAATGAGCTATAATAATTCAAACAATTAACATTATAGATATAGTGAAAGAGAAAATTCCGTAATATTAAAAAAATGGTTCACAAAATGCGCTTGCGATTATTTTTATTTTTTTTAGTTAATTAAGTTAGAAGGACGAAATTCGAGGATGTGGGTGTTTGTATATTAGTCTTTAACATATAATTTTTTTTTAACTAAATATTGAAATTTGTCAATTATATTCAAGAATAAAATTTAAAAAGCAGATTTTCAATACATATTCGTCCTTATGCAATAAAAAAAATTGAACATTTTTAATTTTACATAATTTTTTCTTTTGTTTGTTACCCATATCGTTATTATACAATGCATTACAGGTATTTTAATAAATTTGCGTGGCAGTAATATTTCTTACATACAAAAGTAAAATTTTTGTCTTTGGTGTTTGATAAAGAAAACTTCGAATCAAATAACGGTGTCTTATTTTTCTAAAAAAACGGACGTCAACTGCTTATCACAAAGTCAAGGTCGTTGTTTGCGACGGAAATATTGGAATCGATTTTGTGTTCTGTTTTTTTAGCTCGTCAAAAAAAAAAGACAAAAGATAGTACTTTTAGGACCTATAACTCTAATTTTTTTTTACATTTTTTTCATATCGTTTTTGGCCAATCTATTAAAAAGTTAAAACGTTTGCTGATTTTTCCTTAATCTTTTCCAAAGTATGAAATTTTGATTCACATGAGTTTTCTGTACAATCAGCCTTAATTTTATACAAATTTGACCGAAAAAAAAATTTACTCTGAAAAACATTTTAAGCATCGTAAAAAAAGTAATACAAAATAATTCGGTAAGTCGGTGTGTGTACTTTTGACATAACCTTTATATTTTTTTCTTAAAGATTAAGTTTGAAAATGCTTTTAAAACGTTGGCCATATTTGGCCACGTTTAGACTATCAAAAACGCGCGAAATTAATAATTTTGAGTTTATTTCGTCAATTTCATGTTGCTTTTAACTCTTCAGCAGACAAATTAAAAAATTCAAAACCTTCAGATTTTCAGAAACACAGAACAGAACAGAACAGTATTAATTTAATATTAATATTTAAAAACAAACTGCATCCAAACTTTATTGATAAAACCACAAATTACCCATCGATCATGAAGGGTTAAAATTTTTTTTTTTTTTTCGAAAATGTAGGAAATCATACATAGTNTTTAAAAACAAACTGCATCCAAACTTTATTGATAAAACCACAAATTACCCCTCGATCATGAAGGGTTAAAATTTTTTTTTTTTTCGAAAATGTAGGAAATCATACATATGCCAATCAATAAAAAATAATGTTTTTTAAGTCAACTACTTGTTTATCCAAAATTAATTTTTGCCAAAAAAATTGGTCAAATTTTACAATTTCACTGAATTTTTTAACTAGTTTTTAAAATTAAAAAAATCCTGACGTGATGTGAAAAACACAATTTTACTATATTTGGCACCCAGTTTCGCGAGTGTATAATTTTTTTTTTTACTTTCGATTTTAATTTTACTAAATTTGGCGGTGTTATCAACTGCTTCACAAACTATTGACAGGGAAGGTGGTAGGGTCTAACGTACATATAACTTAAGAATGAATTGGAATGCAATCGCATATTTTAGTCGTTGTGTGCTCTTTTTTCCATTACCTAGCTCGAAAAGCCTTATTGTAAGTAAAATAAATAAACTATTAAATACATAGATACTTATAAATATTTTCGGTCAATTACTTGTATGTATGTAAAATCAGTTGCAATTCAACATCACTTCATACTACATTTTGTAGTTAAGCCACGTTTACGTGCATTTGCAGAAATTTGAGTCTGATAAGTGTCAGCATGAGAATGTTTTTGAGCTAATTATTTTTTGTTTAGCTATTTTAAGTTTTTTTACTTTCTATACTTATTTACGTATTTCATTTCCATAACTTATTGCCATAGCTATAACGAAATGACTGTATAATTTTTCTAAGGGTTTCTAAAGTGATTACTTTTCAGAAGAATTAAGCTAACAAATTATTTTTAGTACATGTATTTACAGATTTTAATACCCTAAAACATATCAGACTACTTTGTGCATCCATGAGTAAATTTCAAATAATGTCACTTTGATTTCAAATTGAATAAGGTTGAGATTCACTCGAAAGTGCATTGCAGAAACTGCCTGACTAACCGACATTTCCTTTTTTTTTTCAAAACTACCTCAGAAGATAGTTTGCAAAATAGTTTGACGCAGTATTCTGATTGCAAGGTATCTTTCGATACAAACTTTTTATTACCTTTCCATTCCTCGTAAACTCTAGTGAGCAAATTTCAGCACCAGCATGTGCTTCCGGTATAGTATTGATACAACGTCCACTGACTCCATCCCATATTTTTATGGCACCATCTAAACTACCTGTAGCATACAACTTTGCTGTTGGTGCAAATTTTACGCATGTCACAGCTGCCTTGTGTTGTTGTGATGGTATTGCACTTACAAAGCACTGCGAAGTGTGTACATCATAAACTCGCAGAACGAAATGTTCTGTACCAATAGCTATATAATCGCCGGTGGGATGAAATGATAAGCAGTTTACCGGTTCGCAATCGGTGAATACCTTGTGTGCCTTTTTCACTGAAGGTTTGGCTATATCGAAGAGTTTTACGGTACCATCACGCGAACCAGAAGCCAAAATGTGTTCTCTTGGGTGAAATTCCAAAAAGGCCACCTCATCTGTGTGATCATAAAGTGTACGAATAACTGGGTGACCTTGTTGTTCTCGTCCTGGTTCTATATCTTCTGGTGCTGATTTAGCCAACATACGGTCAACGTCTAAAATTTTTATACTAGCATCTACACTACCAGTGGCAACCAATGTACCATCGTGACTAAATGCACCCGCACGACATGATTGCTTGTGCGATGTAACATAAGCAGTTTCATAAGAAGCTGGCTCAGGTGCTAGCGCAGACGCTTCAGGTTCGAACTCCAAATCAATGCCAGGCAGCACGTCGTCCTTAGGAGCTATAGGTTTTTCAGTTGTAGCCTGCATGCCAGCGATCATAACATGTAACAGGCGTTCGCTGGGAGCACATTCATCTGCTTTCACGAGCATAGAGAGTTCCATTGCAAATTTTTCCAGGCCATCGTACATCAATTGACTAAAAGCAGAAGTGAAGTTGCCTTTGATTATGTTGTATGCGATTAACTAACCTTATAATAAGTCTATATAGGATTTCACGATTCTTCACAAGATTTCTGGGATCCAAAATTTCAATATCGCGCATTTTCGTTATTAATTTTTGTTCAAAAACTTAAGTTTATAAATTTATAAACACGAGAATAAATTGTTTGGCTAGAAAACAGCTGTTGAAATGACGCCGCTGCAACAACAACAACAACGCCGGCAACATAAAAATTGTTTGTCGTTCACAATAGCTGATGAAAATGGTGCAGTCAAAAGTGGCAATGCAAATACTTTGACAAAGTGTTTTGCTGTCAATTTGAGAAAATGAAATTCCACTTTCCTGAGTGAACAAATAAAATTACGGCATACATATTTAATGTACCTTGGTTTGGTCAATTTTCGGAAATAAGTATTGAAAATTGAGGAAAAGTCTGCAATTACTTTTCGATGCTATTGAACTTTTGGAATTTACTTGAGCTACCAAATCTGACTAGTCTTTAACCAAGGCAAAATTTAGCGCAGCTCGAAACGCAAATTAAACACACAAAATCGTTTGAAATTTGTTTAGATTCATTTTCACCCGATTTTGTAAACAAAAAATGGAAAATTTAAAGTACTTTTTCTCGTAAACACCACTCCTTATTAAAAAGAAGCAAATGCAACGTTGATTTGATTACCAAATTGTCAAACTACTGTGAATTTCCCTTTCTTTTTGTTTACATGTTGCTGTCAAAAAAGCTAAGATCTCTGAAAAAGTAAACACGTGCATTTGGTTATTATATTTAATCAATTTCTTATTTTAATCACTCTATTTTAATAGCAATTGGCTTTTTAAGACAATATAACCATGAAGATTCGGAAAATTCACCAGCGCAAGCGTTTTAGGTACAGTGTCAATAGGAAGACGATGAGGAAGACACGTGAAGCCACAGGGAAAATAAAAGAGTAAGAATTGGACAATAACTTGAATTAATTAATTTATTAAT